GGTTGCAGTACAACGAAAATCAGCCATCACCTTCTCATAAGATCCATCTACGGATCTCGTCATTATGAACTTTCGAACGAAATGAAAGTCTCCTCAATAAATTCCTTATATACCCTAATGTGTTGATTGCAAAAACCTCTTATCTTGTGCATACTGGCAGACAGAAAACAATCAGTAGCTGTCGCTATTTAAATATTTATATTTCCCCACAATACTATCTTAAGAGATTCATCGAAACTCAGTTATTCTTCGTATCTGCCTATAATGAATACAAGAAAGTAAAGGGGATAATTAAACCGAAACTTTTTATGGTTTATAGATAGATTTAATATAGTCACCTAAAAAAAGATTTTAACTAGCCTTTTCAGCTTTGGTCCTAATAACATTTACACATTCTTTAGTTTGGTTTTACATAGTAACTCCATAGTGATATGTGACCTGCATCAGGTAATCGAGATGATGCGTTTCAGAAGATCTTGAAACTGTTTTGATCATGATCTCAAAATACCTTGCACCTTTTTATAATTACTCAAGGCGATAAATAGGACTTCGTATCTTGACACTAGCACATGCGTAAATATACTCAGGCATAGAGCGACATGAACATGAATAAACAAAATCATTATATACCTCTAGAAATGAAATTGTTAATAAAAACTTAGTGGCAATTGAGTTTTCTTGATTCATTGTAAGCTTTATGTCGCTATAAGGACGCGTTCTAGCTCTGCTGTTGCCTGTCATGTGAAATGGCTGACGAAAGTACGACACATTTACCATAGCACCAAAGGAGGACGCCTCAAAGGGCTGTGTCAGTCCGATGATACTGGCGGAATAAAGCAACAATAAACCAAGAGGTATCTGTTATTGTAATCTGTCAAGATCAATCTTCGTATCACCCTCATCAAGCCTTTTCCCACGAAATAAAAATCATCTGGACATTTACTTTTCAATTAATTGCCTAATTTTGATAATGACACTACTTATACGATATATTCAACACGACATAGTTCGTTTTCCTTATGCAGTATAGAGCGAAATAAATCAGATAATGGTTACTCTAAAGATTAACAAGCTTCAAATTATTTAAAAGCCTGTTTACACACTGTTACATGAGAGAACCAGGTTTTTTCGAAAAAGCGAAACAATATTTGTTTATGAGAGTATTCACCCTCAATGCTAAATACCCTAGGTCTCTTAGACTTATTTAAGAAATGAAAATGGTGTTTTTCCCACAATGCTACGACTGAGCCTCACGATGCGCATGAATTTCTTTTAGCATCGCCTCCTAATAGGTTTTCTCATCCTTACAGGAGACGAGGTCAAGCGAATTTCAACGGAATAGTGAAGCCTACTCGTATCATTATAGGAAATACTTCTCTTCCTTTCTTTAAAACACCTTAGGCGACACAGGAGAACTTTGTTCTTATTTAATAGATACTGATGATTTCAAAATTTATTTATACTATATTTCAAGGACAAAAAGAATTCAAGCTTTCCCGACAGATTTAAAGCGTTTCAGAGTTTCATAAAACCCTGGGCGTCTGGGAGGCTTGGATAGTTTTTGAAAAGGATTTTACCAAATTCCCAATAGGAGAAGAGGAGGAAGAAAGAAGTTAAAATTTGAGCCCCATCCACGAAATCTGTATAGAGCATATCACGGCATGCATCCTCGTCACTATCTGCCAGTTTCCTGCTGTAATGATAGCAACTCATCTCACTAGTAATAGATGAAATACATGCTTGAATTAAATGTGCTTGTGGTCTATTTATTTCTTAACCCAATCCTTTATGTCCATTAGAACCAGCAGAATGGCTAGCTCCTGAAATGGATATCGACGCTGTTGATCTGGGTGAGTACCACGTGATCGGAGGAGTAATTCGCTTTGATCTACTCACTCTACCGAGGCAGCCGCGTACTGGTCGAGGATGGACAATTACCACGTGTGTGAGACCAGCTAAGCTCATCCCGTTCGATTATAATGTCGAACAGAGACAGCAAAAAGATTCTCAACTGATAATTGAAGGTAAATCGACTTCAGGGATCTTCTGAAGTAAGATTCCCCTTAAGGCACTTAACGGTATATGTAATCTATCAGAAAAAAGCAAAAGAAAGATAAGAACTTAATTCATCCGTCATCAACTTAACGAAATAGAGTGAAATTATCTCATAAATATGATCTATTCATGGACTCGAAAACATACTTATACTGAAACAATAAGGTGATGAAAGATTTATAGTTGAATTTTTCCAAAATGATATGAGTAGGCCTTGTGTTTCCATTAAATTTCACATAACCTTGCTTTCAAAAAAATATTCATATCCAGAACGGAATGCGGTTTTATCCTTGCAAAAATGTCACCAGCATTTCCAGCTAGATCCGAATCCGAGTAATGTAGTATATAGTCTTGACGAGTTAACATCTAAGTATTACTACGAAAATAAGAAATGTAGTCTATTGTAATAGCAATAATAGCTTATTTCCGTAGACGATCCCACTACAGAAAGGGATAGCTGAAGGGCCTTGCTTTCTTTTACACTTACGTCTGTCCTATGGGCCAAAGGGACTCATTGCAATGCGGCTTGTTGGTTAACGCGTCTAGAATATGCACTGCATTATCACAACACGTGCTCGAGTCCCGCGGGAGAGGCTTATTGGATCTAGTCGAGGTCAAAACTACAGTCCACCATTTTGTGAAGCAGGATGATTTGGAAATCAATGGAGACGTGAGGCTTATTCACACAATTGAGGAAAAATCCAACTATTAATCTTAATCACCTTGCGAAAAATAGGGTGAATACAGTTATTATTCAAGTTCCACATGTAGGCTCGATTATCTACTCGAAAATTATAAGAACACTTTAATTGTGGCTACTGCTTATGCTTTCACACAACCAGATTTTGTTGCCTCAGGCTATAGAAATGTTGAAGAAATTATCGGATTCTTTGATACTTTGTTATTTTCCAAATATATCGTATTATTCTCATTATAGACTGGTAAGAATACTTTTTTTATAGAATTGGGTTGACCTCAATTATCGCAACTTGGTCTTGTTGTCAGAGCGACTCAGTTGGAGGCATCTTGTCCTAAATCATCTACTATAATAGCTAGCACAAGTCCCAGCGTCGGACCGTGGACTTGGCAAATTCTCAGACATTTCGCCGGCATCGTTGTCAGCCTCATCATTGTGTCTTGTTATTCTCAGCACCAAGCTACAACTTGACAAAGAAACAAATGAAGTCAACCCCTTGAGCAAACCGTTTGCCTAAACGGTTATGCTATCACTCCTGTTTCTGTCTTGGCGCTTCTAACTACCCCATACACTTTTATGCCACTTCCGCCCTATCACAAGTTTTGACTTGTTTACATTCCACTCGTCAAAAGGTGTGCCCTTTTCGGCAAGTTTAGTGTGGTATCATTACGCCTGCCGTTCATCTTACTTCCCTCTCTTCCGGTCGGCTAATCACACTCAAGCCTCCCATCCGGATCTCCCTCATGGTTCCGTAGATCCGTTTCTTATCTTTCTGGTTGACTGATTTCAATCGGTTTCGGGCCCAGTGTACGTTTTACTCCAGACGCTAGTTCTCAAGGCCCTAGAAGCGCGTACACTGCCGCCTCACCGAAAAGAGTCCACAGGCGCTGATTCCCATGCTTGTAGACACTTGTCATTGCCTTCGTCTGTCGCATTCTTGAGTAAGCCCATATACGCAATCAAAGCGTGAATGCTTATTCGCCAATCGAAAATGAGGTGGACGAAATGAACAGCAGTTGTGATGACACCACATTAAACTTTCCAAAAAGAGCACATCTTTTGAAGAAGGTAAAGTAAAAAAGTCAAAAATTGTGATAGTGTGCGAGTGTGAT